ACTCTAAACCCTAAACCCCTGAATCCAACGAATCTAATAAGCCTAAACCCTAAACCGGGCCTGGCGGCCGCGAAGAGGCAACTCTCTCCGGAAGAGTCCAGATCTCCAAGATGGCCTCGTACCAAGTGGCTGTCTTTATAGGGTTTAGGGTTTAGGGTTTAGGGATGGGTACTTGTCATCTGTCTGGTTTCACCCTTTCATGGGTTTGGGTGCGATTTGTTTTTGTCAGGGTTCTTAGAGTCTGGGGTTTAGGGTTGCAAGGCCCTTAAAGGGACCCTTGGGGTTATATAGGGTTATATTATACAGATTACTTGGATTAGGGGTCCCTTCTAGGGGTCCCTCCTATTGTCCCGTAATTGTGGCACTTATCAAGTGGATGGGGATCTACAGTGGTATCTTCGCGTCACCAGTTTACATGCTCACCGCTTCGGCGTGTAGTGGCCGAAGGTGTTCTGGGAGCATCATGGGATTTAGAAAGTCGAGCCCTTTGAGTACCTGAATTAGGGTTGCAAGTGGATCTGACATTGGTTGCCTTACTTACAAGCTGGCTACTTACGAAGTCCCCTGATCAACAGCATGACCTGCGGCAAGCATTTCTTCAACTATCTCGGTCAGGGCAGGCCGTGGCGTTGCCACCTGTGCAGGCTGCACTTGCAGACTTACCCATGCTGCTCATAAAGAGCCTTCACCAGTTCCTGCTGCATGGGCCTCCTGTCCACCCTAAACCCTAAACCCCGGGGTCAGAAGTCGGTACCTGAGTTGGGTTGAAAGAACGATTCTTCACGAGGATGCTGTCTGAAATGACGGATTGTGGACCGAGATCTCCGGAACATGAACGAATTGAGGAACGGTTTACGGTTTAGGGTTTAGGGTTTAGGAACAACACTGACACGATATGAAATCAACTGGGTGAAAGTCGCATCTCGCCTGTCAGTACTGGTTCGCTCTGGCTTTTGCCCTCGTTGAACAAAGTGCCGGACGTCTTTAAGTCTATCTTATAGCCCTAGACAAGGAAACTCTGCATCGCAGATCTTCCCCTTTCATACCGAAGCATTCGACAAGTTCTGAGATCCTTATCACACGAAGCCTAATCATAATGCATCCCGGATATCACTAACTCTGCAAAAAGCTGTTAGATCCTCTTGGCTGACTTCTGAACCCTCCTAAAACTTAAACTCTCTGCCTACCCGTTATAGTTCATATAGAAACCCAAAAAGCCAAAGTCCTTAGAGCCAACCAAAAGAACGCCAAGTCCTATAGGACTATGCCCCTAAATCCTAAACCCCTAAACCCTAAACCCTAAACCCTAAACCCCAAAGCGTTGTGTCGACCTCTCCTTTCAAAGCAGGTAAACTTGTTCAGAAATGTAGTACGCTTCATCTTTAAAGAAGTTGGGATTGATTTTCCGATGCCGCGTGCCAAGACGCTGTCACAGTGGGGCATCAATGAGGAAGTACCATCGATACTTATTGCGCCCTGTACTGTCCGCGCGAATGTGAGTAAGCTTTCTGAAATCTTTTGGGTACACAGAAGGTACAGCCGGGCGGTGGCCATTCCCTTTCAGCCTCCCCGGAATCCTGTGGAATGCCCTTTAATGTTTGTTAATCCCAAAGTCACGTGGGCTCGGTATTACGCCCGTCGTAGGCTGGCTCGTAGTTCATAATTAATTCGCCCCTGTGTTGTATGTGGAGCAAGGATCCCTGCGTCAGTCTCGCCTGGATCGTCCGACGACCGCTTCATAAACCCCTAAACCCCTAAACCCGGAACCCTAAACCCTAAACCCCTAAACCCGAAACCCCTCAATAAAAAAGGTGTAAAAGGAGCACCTGACCCCAAAAAGAGCCGTGGTGGGCCTCCTAGCTCCTTCAGCGCGCAAACCATCCGCGGTCCGCTCCTGGGTGGACTTCTGGACTCTACAGATAGGGTTCAGGGCTTCGGGTTTAGGGTTCAGGGGTTAAGGTTTAGAGTTTAGGGTTTAGGGTTTCGGGTTTACCCATAGGCCCCATAGTAGTTCCTTCTTGGGATTCCCTAATCGGATCCTACATGGAAGCCACAAACAGGAACTGCTATGGGATAGGCTTCAGGGTTGCGGGTCATAATTGTAGGACCCCAAAACGTCAAACATCCCAAGACCCCTAAACCCTTAAACTGGGAAACCCTCCTGAACCTTCAATCGCAAGCCTTTAAGCCCCTGGTGGAACCCCCAGGAAAACGGCTGAAACATCAACTCGAAACGTTACACGGTGATCAAAAGTTCAGCAGCAGCCCAATCCCAAAGCCTGCTCCCAAAGCCCCAAAACCTCAAAGCCCTAAACCCTAAACCCTCAACCCTGAATGCCGAAAACCCCAAACGCTTCAACTCTGCAACCTTAAACCCTCAATCCCAATATAGGGGCCTTAATAAATAGAATAGGGTTTTGGAGTATATACTATACTTTCATTAAGGAACCCCCCCCCAAAAAAAAAAAATATAGGCATTTATTAAGGCCCCTACATTAAAATTGCCCCAGCTCGCAACCCCGAAACCCTAACTTTCAGCAGCACTGAAGGATCGGAAGACTTGGTAAGTCAGCCACAAGTAGATTAGGATTTAGGGTTGAGGGTTTAGGGTTTCGAGTTTAGGGTTTAGGGCTTAGGGTTTTCTAAGAGGGGCAGCCCTGATTAGCGCGCTTGTACTCGCTAATATGAGGACCTGAATAGTTAGAATAGGGTCTTGGAGCCCATTATAGCAAGGAACCCCCCAAATTATGTTGGTAATTATTTAGGCCCCTATAGTACCTGCCCTTACCACTTACTTTCGATCTCCTCTGATCCCATCAACTTACACAACCCTACAGAACCCCTTATAAATCCTGCGCTCCAACATGAGTAAGACCGGGAACGGTAGCCCCGAGCCCGCAGCGACGAAGAGAGGTGTCCTCGCCGAGCATCGGGAGGTTTTGCAAGGTTGCGTTTGATTGCAGCTCTAAAGGGGGCAATAAGGGTTCTATAAGGGGTGTATAAGGGTCTGATAAAGAGTCTACCTGGGTCATAGGAGGGTCCTTAAAGGATTTTGGAGCCTCTGGGTTGTTTGAGGTGCCCTTGTTCCGGTTTCCAAGCTTTAGGGTACATAGGGTTTAGGGCTTGAGGTTTTTATAGGTTGTAGCCTCAGGGGACAGAGTTTAGTATAAGAGTTTAGGGCTCAGGATAAAGGGTTGAAGGACCAGGGTAACTATATGTCTATTCCGGCTAAGAAATATGTCTGCTTGGAAACCCTAAGAACAAAACCAATTGCGAAAACAAACTCGAAACAACTAAAACCGTACCCACGTATAGTTAAAACCCTAAAGGCTAAACTCCTAAACTCTAAACCCCTGAACCCCTAAACCCTAAAATCCCTATGCCCTAAACCCGAAAATAAATTAGCCCCAACCCAAAGCCCTGAAGGGTCGAAAAAGCCTTGGAACATGCTGTCTTCACGGATGTGATGCGGGCTCAGGGTAGGTCTAGGGCCGAGGGGTTGCATTGAACTGTTTGCCTTAAAAGGGCATGTGTCAGAAAGGAATGCCCTAAACCCTAAACCCTAAACCCTAAACCACTTTGGTCTTTAATAGGATTCTAGAAGAAAAACGCACGTAGCGACGTGGAGTCATAGGGCAAGCTTCTTTTTACCAGGTCCTAGAAGGATTGGCTGATGTCTTAGGTTTAGGGTGTAGGGTTTAGGAATTAGGGTTTAGGGTTTAGGGTTGTCACGAAGTCTTTGTGAGCAAGGGCTTTGCTCTAAACTCATCACGGAAGCCCGCGGAACAGCGCTGGTAGCTGTTAAGGCCCCGGCATTCGATTTACGACCACTGACAGCCCCTAAACCCCGAACCTTAAACTCTAAACCCTAAACCCTGAACCCTAAACCCTGAACCCCTAAACCCTAAACCCCTGAACCCTACATCGTGAACCCTAACCTTCAGTCTGCGCTCTGCAAACACCCTGTGCCCCTATATCCTGAGCCGAAAAAGCCAAACACCCGAAGCCCAAAATCCCAAATCCCAAACCCTCTATATATATATATAGAGCCCTAAACCCTAAACCCTTCATTATCCAGCCTTACAAAGATCCCCTAAACGAGCCATAACAACCTAAACCCTAAACCCTAAACTTGGAAGTCTGAACCAGAAAAATGGACCTTCCAGAGCTGTCTTTCCATCGCACCTGGCACCTGCCCAGAATCGATGTTGGGATGCAAACTTTAGGGTTTAGGGTTTAAGGTTTAGGGTGTAGGGAGGGTTTAGGGTTGAGGGCCTTAGAAACAGAACAGAACAGAACAGAGGTTTGGAGTCTTGTGTTTGTGTTCAAAGGCCTTTTTTGGTGTCCGCCGGTTTAGGGTTTAGGGCCTTGGGCTTATGGCTGAGGGCTTTGGCGTTTCAGGGTTTAGGTCTTGGGGAGGAGGGGCTGGGAATCTAGGAATTAGGGTTTAGGGTTTAGGGTTTAGGAATTAGGGTTTAGTTAGGGTTTAGGGCTGATGGTTCGAATACAACCGACTTTAGAATGCACAAAGATTCTTGAGTCTGTTCGGGATGTACCTTCTGGGCTTCAAGATCTGAAGATAGCTTCTAGTTTGGTCCATTCGCATGTTAGGGAAGGGGTAGCTTAGCAGACTTTGGAAAGATTTTGCCGGGTTATCCTAACGAGACCAGACAGGACTCCATATCTTGGCCAGGTAATGGCATGGGAACCCCTGTGGAAACGTAACTTGGTAGATCTGCCACCCTAAACCCTAATAAGGGTACCTAATAATCATATATTCTCCCAACTAGTAACCAACATAACGTAAGTACCTGATTCTTGGGTCCTTTGGACCCTTGGGGAAATACCCTAAACCCTAAACCCTAAACCCTAAAACCCTGATGGAAGGACAACCTGCGGCTTTGGTTCTTTATGGCAGATCCCCTCATCCTCACCTAGAACATACTAGAACTGAATGCAACACTACAGGGTTTCGGGTTTAGGGTTCTATTTCCTGATATCATGAACAGGACCTAACATGAGTTAAGGAGAACTCCTTAAATGTACTGGAAGATTAGTTCAGATGAGGTCTGGCTCTGCGCTTTTGAAACTTCTGAGAATCCTTCTCCGTTTTGCTAAACCCTAAGCCCTAAAACATTCCTCCTTCTCTCATGTACTGAGGCTCATCACCCGCTGTTCTTTCTTCTTCAACGACCAGGCCCAACAAAGTTCAAACTTTTTAGGATAGACCAATTACATAAGGCCAAAAAGTTTAAAGTTCTCCCATTGGCTATCTAAGTGTTTTGTAGATGACCCATGGAAACATGGGCGATGATCCTGAAAAGGCAGGTTCTGCAGGGTACCCGGTAAACCCTACGTATATCGACATCTCCGAAAAAATGGGGTCTGGATTCAACAATAATACCAAGTCGGTTTAGGGTTTAGGGCTTGGGAGTTAAGGTTTAGTATATTATAAAACAAACCATAGTAGACCACCTCGGCAACACCCAGTTCAACATTGCAAAGCTCCCCCATCATGAAGGCAGAGGCACAAAAAGGCCCTATGAACGCCCCATCCTAAACCCCAAACCCCTAAACCCTAAACCCTAAACCCTAAACCCTGAATCCCTAAACCCTAAACCCTACATCCCTAAACGCCTAAACCTTCAACCCCAAATCCCTGAACCCTAAACCGTGGCTCGCCTATGAACGCCCCACCCTGAAAAGATCAGGGGATCACCAGTCAAGCCATCGAAACCCTCGTAAAAGCCTCAGAAATGACAGTCACGCTAAACATCCCGGTTTAGGGTTTAGGGGTTTAGGGTTTAGGGTTGAGGGCTGTAGGGTTTAGGGGTTTAGGGCTTAGGGGTTTAGGGTTTAGGGTTCAGGGGTTTAGGGTTCAGGGTTTTGGGAATATACCCTAAGCCTAACTCAAGGCCCCTATAATTCTAAAGTAGTGTAGGAACCTTAATGATTAGAATAGGGTTTTGGTGTATATCATACTATACTTATAATACGGAACTCCTAAAATAGTATAGGTGATTATTTAGGCCCCTATATGAACATTCCTTAAGTAAGAGGTATTGGGATCTCTTTGACCGTACCCTAAACCCTAAACCCTAAACCCTAAACCCTAAACCCTAAACCCTAAACCCTAAACCCTAGGACTCGGGATTCGGCCTTTGCCGAATCAGAAGCTCCGCGACCCGTGGGTCACAAGCTTTGAAGAGCGCTTGCTGCCTTGGGGCTTGGGGCTTACAGGCTAGGGTTTACTTTAGGGTCTAGGGTTTATATATACATTGACATATACATATATATATATATATATATATATATGTATGTATGTATGTATGTATATAGGGGTTATAAGGGCTGAGAGCTTTGGGTGTAGAGCTTAGGGTTTATAGGGCTCAGGGCTTGGGATTTAGGGCGTATGTACAGTCTAGAGCTTAATTAGGGCTTAGGGTGCGTAGTTGTAAAGCTTGTTCAGTCTCTCACTTTTCTGACGGGTTTGGGTCAGCAACAATACAAAACTTTAAAACCTGTCCTCACTTGCAGTTGCAGGGAAAGCCGGCCATGTCAGCAAGAGAGAACCGCAGCTCAAGCGGATCGCCATGGTGAGCAAAAGACACGCAAGAACCAGTGCCCAGCGCGATGTCAGGACCAGGATCCACTGGCTCATCGTCTACTACCCCTAAACCCTAAACCCTAAACCCTAAAACCCTAAACCCTAAACCCTAAAACCCTAAACCCTAAACCGTGCTGTGCCAGAGAGTCCCGCAGCATTCAGAAGGATAAGGTGGTCAACCTGAGGAGGAAGCGAGGCAGCAAGGATGCGGCCATCGTACAGCGTCAGGCCCAAGCACACGGTAAGCCGTTCTCGGGAACATTCAGGAACCCTAAACCCTAAACCCTGAACCCTGAACCCTGAACCCTAAACCCTAAACCCTGAACCCTAAACCCTAAACCCTAAACCCTAAACCCTGAACCCTAAACCCCTAAACCCATCGTGGGTCTGGTTGTGGGTGCACATGCGCGAGATCCAGGGAAACAGTTCCCGCCCGTCCCTGCGACGGCAGATATCGAGGAGATCCAGCGCATCAGCAACACTTTGTGGTACAAGCAGCTGGAGGGTTTGGGGTAGATTATACTATAATTTTTTTTAAAAAAAAAGAACCTACGGAATAATATTGGTAGTATTTAGGATTCCATGTTGCACGAACCTCAATGGATCCTATGACACCAGCCTGGAGTGCAAGGATCCTTTCAAGTAGGGTTTAGGGTTTAGGGCTACTATAGTTATGAAAATGTATTGCCGGTATAGTCTACAAACACCGAAATAATTAAAAAGGTGAAACAAAGGTAAACAAAAGGTATCTGGAAAAGGTGAAAAAAGGTACCACACCAAGAGAAAGGTAAACAAAAGGTATCTGAAAAAGGTGATAAAAGTTCGCACACCAAGAGAGAAGTAAACAAAAGGTATCTGGAAAGGTAGCACACGACGAAGAAGGGACCTATCTAAGCAATCACAGGCCGGGCATTGCAGTCGGGGACACCGGGAAGGGAGGTGCCGGGGCCCGGGCTTAGGGGGGATGACGTAGGGATCGGGACAGCTAGGCAGCACCCAGCCGCCCCCCGTCCTCACCTTTTCCTGACACCTTTTTTGTTCAGGTTGTGTCTCGCCCCTGACTTTGCCGGTACCTTTTGTTAACCTTTGGTCTCACGGGCCCGCCTTTCCTTTACCTTTTCCCTTCACCTTTTTTCTACCTTTGGGCGAAGCCTCACCTTTTCTTTACCTTTTTTTTTACCTTTCCGTCACCTTGTTTTTACCTTTTTTCCACCTTTTTGTTACCTTTTGTTTACCTTTTCCCTAGGAAAAGCTAGATTTCCAGATTGGGGAGGCGGGGGCTGGAAAGGTAAAAAAAAGGTATCCGAGAAAGCTGAGGGGGATCCTCTGAGGGGGGCTGGAAAGGTACAAAAAAGGTACCCAAAAAAGGTGAAGGGGGACCTCCCCGCCTGCGCGCACGTCCTAGCCCCGCTGTCCCGTGCGCCGCGTGCACGCGCGCGTGCTTGCGCGCGCGCGAACGCGATCACCCTGCAAACTTTTCCGCACCCAGGCCACGCGCCACCTCTCGAAGCACCTCTACGCCAAGCCCCGCCCTCCCACCTCGAAGCCTCTATAAGCTAAGTGAACCCCAACCGGTGGTGGCGGTGCTTTACCCATCTTCTATACCTTCTTGACACCTTTCTTCCTACACTTTCTGCCGGTACCTTTCTTTTGCCCCTTCTCCCTAATAGGGCTCCTTCCTTCTACCTTTATTTTACCTTCTCCCGAAGAAGGCACCTTTCTTTTACCTTTTCCCTGTACCTTTCTTTTACCTTGTTTTTACTTTTTTAAATATTCATGTTGAGATAATAAATACTAAAAGAATGTTCATAATACTATAGGGCTTTGTTCAAAAACCTACTGTTTTCTTGTTTTGTTTGGGGGGAGGGGGGTCAGGCCCTATAGTTTATTAAGGGGTCATAATCTACTATTTTGTAGGGTTTGGGGGAAAGAGGTCGGGTTTAGGGATTCCAGAAACTCCAGAAGGAACCCAGTGAGCCCGATACACCTTAACTAAGGGCTAAAGCTTAAAAATTAAGCGGGGGGGGGGGGTTAGGGTTTAGGGTTTAGGGTTTAGGGTTGGGGCTTGATATTATGATTTAAGGTCTCTGCTTTAATTAAGGGGTATTGGGCTCGCAGGGTCCTGAAGTACGGACTAAAGATCAAGTCACACTACCGGCCGTCCCTCATAGTCCGAGGGCTATTCCTTTGGTTTATCGGTTCCGGAGGCTCTGGGAACGGTTTAGGGTTTAGGGTTTAGGGTAAGCCCTGAAACTGAAACCTAAACCCTCCACCCAGCGGCTTCCGGTTGTCGCGGCTCAAGGCATTCGCGCGCAGCCTGCCATCTTCACGCGAAAGAGCTCTTAAGGGTTTAGGGTTTAGGGGGTTTGGGTTTGGGGTTTAGCGCTTAGGGTTCTGTGGTTTCTAGGCTTGAAAGTTTAAGGGTTCAGTGATTTTGAGTTTTAGGGTTCAGGGGCTTTCATGCTGCGGTAGTATTGCAGGGGCCCTGGCCATCGCCCTCAGTTTTCTGCAAGGCCTCAAAAGCAAACTCAAACCCCAAACCCTAAACCCTCAGCCAAACCCTAAACCTTGGACCTTCTTGGTTTCTCCTGACCGGAGGACCAGACGCAGGCAAGAAGGCGTAAGCTGCCCTCCGAAGATCTCTCGTGAGGTTGAGACTTGTTTGTCTTGTCTGACTTCTGAACCCCTCCTACAAGTTTCACTTTCTGCCTATACTTATTATATATTTCTGAACCCCTCCTAAAAGTTAGACTTTGTGCCTACTTATTACATGTAGTTCATATAGAAACCCGGAAAGTTCAAGTCCCAAGAGCCGACCAGAAGAACGCCAAGTTGTGAGGATGTGGACGATTCATCGCCGAATCCGACACCCTAATCCCGAAACCCCGAAACCCAAAGCGCTGAACCCTAAACCCTAAACCCTAAACCCTAACTCTAAACCCTAAACCCTAAAGCCCTAAAGCCCTAAACCCTAAACCCTAATCCCGAAACCCTAAGCCTCAGCAGCTGCACGACGTCGTCATAGCCATCTCTTCGGCTTGCCGCTTTATGCAGAGCCTTAGGCGCATGTGGCTTGCTTTGTCATTGTCTGACGGTTTTTTACAACGCACGTTTAGGATTTATGAGTGTAGGATTTAGGAAGGGTCTGACCTGGGCTGAACTATGGCTGTTTTGGGATTGCTATTGGGCATTTGATGATATAGTTACGTAGAAAGGTTTTATAGAACGGCTCTGCTATCGTTTCAAAAAAGGGTTTCTTGGCTGACTTCTGAACCCTCCTAAAGTTGAGCTTTTAGCCTACTTATTCTAGTTCGCATAGAAACCCCAAAAGTTAAAGTCCTAAGATCCAACTAGAAGAACGCCAAGCTGATATGGAGGATACTTACCCAAACCATAACCCTAATAATGACAATGCGGGTTTGGGGGTTTCGTTCTTCACGTAGACCCTGATTCATCGCTCCCCTCTCTTTGCGGCCTTGCGGTTCGGTCTAGGGTTTCGGGTCTAGGGTTGAAGGTTTAGAGTTTAAGGTTTAGGGTTTAGGGTTTAAGGTTTAGAGTAACCCTAAACCCTAAACCCTAAACCGGTTTAGGGTTTAGGATTAAGGTGTCTGGGAGGGTTTAGGGCGTGGGAGATGACGGCAGTTGAGGGTTTCGTGTTTGGTTGTACCTGCGGTTGAGGGCTCAGGGTTTAGGGTTTAGGGTTTAGGTTTAAGTTCAGGGTTCAGAAGGGCTTAACTAGGCTCGTGCAGGGTCTCAAAGGCTTTATGAGGGTGCCCCAAACCACTTACATCATATGCAAAGCGGAACCCTGGGTCAAGGTGACCAATAATTGAAGGATGTACCTGTTGGGGTGAGGATTTACTTTTAAAATTAGCTATAACCGCTCTGTGTGCTAGATGCGGCAGGGACTGGGTTGTTCCGTTTTGTTGGAGATCTCGTTAAAGGGGAGCATAACGCCAAATACAACTTAAACCCCAAAGGTACACAAGAAAATTCAAACTTAAGGAGCTTGGTGTTTCAGAGACATGCGGGGGTGGTTTAGGGTTGAGGCTTGCGAACCTAAACCAGACTTTCTGGGATCCTCATCTTAGCTTGGCTGACTTCTGAACCCCTCCGAAAAGTTAAACCTTTAGCCTACATATTATAGTTCATATAGGAAAACGAAGACGTTAAAGTCCTAAGAGCCAACCAGAAGAACGCCATGTTAAGGCCGTAAAGAGGTCGAATAAGCGACTCGTGTGTTTACATTGCCATGGTCCGTCTAATCTTCTTTGACTGCATCTCACCAGGTGCTAATGTAGGGGCCTTAATAGTTAGAACAGGGTTTTGGGGGCCAGTGATATAATGATAGTATAATATACCCCA